AATAAAAATCAATAACATTAATAAGAAATAATAACAATAACAATAACAATAACAATAATAATAATAATAATAATAATAATAATAATAATAATAATAATAATAATAATAATAACTAGTAATTAGTAATTCATAATTAATAATAACAATAATAATAATAATAATAATAATAAATAATAATAATAATAATAATAATAATAATACATAAATAAGTAATAATAATAATAATAATAATTATTATTATTATTATTATTATCATTACTATTCAAGTAAATGCTGATCCAGGTTTAATCATGTTCAAAATTTTAACTTCATATTCATGAAAGACCAAGGATTTCACACAAATACACAGACATTTAAAAACAATATATTGAACAAACAAACATGTACGCTGAGCTTAATTATATACATGCTAGTCAACTAAGATACAAGTCAAATTCTTCTGTGACTTCAAAAAGTGACCTCTGTGAATTATACATAATTTAAATAGCAAGAGAATAACAAATATCAAATAGCAACAACATGAAAATATATATGTATTGTTTCTAACTATGAAAGAAAGAAAGGTAAAGGGGGGGGGGGGGAGGAAAAATAATACATTTTTAAAAAAAAGGCCTATAATTGCCCTCAAGAGCCTCACCTCTGTAAATGAGAAGAAGAGTCCAATGCCGCCCACCAGGTTCAGGCCCTTAACCATCGACTCCTGGATTGGTTCCGCGCAGGTTTCGCACGAACAGGCTGTGCTGTTCTCGCCACGGCAACATGTTGCATCATCGGCTGTCGCTGGGTCTCCACAGCAGAACTGGTCATTTTTGTTTTTAATCTACAGTAGAAAAACATTCCCATGGGAGGTTCGTTCATTGCACTAAGGCAAAGCAACATATCTGCTTTTGTTGTTAAGTAAATCAATATGCACATCGTCAAGTTGAAAAGCAAGAGAATCTCATCTCTTAAAGGGCAAAATACAGCAACTGTCATTCTTAGGTAAATGTACTAAATATGGTAATAACTGTTTTTCCTGTTCACTTTTTACATGATGCTCTAAACTGTGGCTTCCTTGAGTACACACAGATGTGTATGAAAAGAAGAAAAAAACTCATTCATTCATTCATTCATTCCCACTAATGGATAACTACACACAATGTACTTTTACCTAGCACTCATAAATAAAATGAACCATATTGGCATGAGTGGAAGCTCAACCCAATCACACCTCTATCCCCACTGAACTCACATCAACGCAGGATGGGTGATTCATATTATCAGTCATATTTTTGCTGTATTTCTCGAAGCCGCAGCAGCCGAAGAACTTCTGTGCATCGCGTTTAGTGGAGTTGTTGGAGAATTCCCAACCCTGAAAGAAACCACCTTTACTTAGTGAAATTTTGTGTGCCTTTTCAGTAATGCTTTTTAGATCAATGTCTGATAAATGTAATGAAAAATGCAAAAAACAGCCATAGAAGGAAAAAACATACAGCTATCAATGATCGTCTAGTTTTACATTAATATTTCTTTCCCATAGTTACAATACAATTTACTTACTCATAATAATGATAACAGAAGCAACAGCAACAAACGAAAACAATAACTAAAGCAACAATCATAAAACCTCAATACTAATAACCAATGAAAAATTAACTGTTAATGAAGTAGAAATAATCACAATCATCATTAACCTGTTGGATCCGGTTGCGTCACAGATATCACGGTGCCAAAAATATGAGCAGTGGGTTACATACATAGCCAACATCTCAGGCGTGCGTTGCCTAGGCCAGGCGTACGTGAACACCCATGAGCAGTGACAAGACTCTGTGCCTCCCCTTTATAAAGTTATTTGGTGTAAACGTTTTTAGCTTTTTCGCCATTTTCCAATGTACATATTTGTCTTTTTATCTGCTTTTCCAAATGGTAAAAGCTTACTTTCCTTGCACAGACACCATATCATCTCTATATGTAGTAAATAATTCAGTGCAGGGGAAAAAAAAAAAAAAAAAAAAAGAGTATGGAACATTTGGTTCTTTCTCTCAGATATCTTTTTTTTTCTGAAATACATCCTGTGCTGCCGGTCACAGTGGCCAAGAATCAGGTGCGCAGCATGGAAATGGCATCCTCACTGGTGCTGGCGTTCTTTCATGGGATTAATGCCCCCTTCTAAGTACCAAACAAGTCAAATCACATCAAGAGGTTTGTGCACTCGTGGCAAGTCTTTTCCGTCACCCTGGCCTTCGCTCATGGAACCAAGTTCGCATCACCCGACCAGTGGCCATTTTGCCTGATTACAGCGTATTCACATCACCCAGCCCATGACCTAGATTTTTCTATGATGAGACAGTAACATCATTAATGATTACTAGCAACAACAACAAACATATGTAACTCACTTTAACTAATATATCCCAACTTTCCACCAAAAGACATTATAAAGCCTCAAAAAATGTCCCTTGCTTTCTTGGAGTATCTTTACACCCATTCCTAATGAAAAGAAAAGAAAAGAAAAAAAAAAGAAATAGGAGAAGAATAAATGGGGAAATACATATCAGTATTTAAAAAAAATACTGCTCAAAAAGTAGGTACAACCACCTGTCTTTTACATCAGACTAGCAAAAGCAGAAAATCAGATGCAACCCATTTTCACTGAAATCTGTCAACTTTTCTGCAAAAGGCATTATGAAGCCCTGACAATATTCTCCTCTACAAATATTTTACACCTATTCCTCAAGAAAGCTGATGAAGACACTGCAAAAGAGGATGCATGGGGGAAACAGGTGAACAAAATTTTTGCACAATGTAAGCACTATCCCTAAATCATCTCAAGATATAATAATAATTAGTCATGGTAAAGCTTAATCCACTGTACACACATTTATCATAATCAATTGATTTCAGGAAAGGTATGATGCAATAATCAGTTAGAATGAGTCATCCAACACGCACCTTCCTAGCGAAAGTCTGCTGCTGCTGTTCGTTCATAGCGAGGCATGCACAGGCCACAGAGAACTGGATGATGAAGATGATGAACAAAACAATCATGTAGAAGAACAGCAACACCTGTTGGAAGTCATCAAATTTGTTAAGAGATACTGATATGGTTAGTGTGGTCTGACTCACTAACAAATTGGGACATTTAACTGCATTATAAAATCTGTGCTTAATGTGAAAGAAATATATGCAATACCATTGTTAAAGCAACCATAACTCAAATAAGAAAAAGGAAAGTGAAAAAGTTTATTAGAAAATCTACTACAATACTCAAAATGAAAAAAAGAATCAAAGGAAACAGTCATCATTCACAAGTAATATGAAAATAAACCAATACATAAGTCAGAGTCAACTATGATTATGAAATGATACTATCAAATCTAGCTACTACATTGTGTTGATTTTTTATCACTTACCTGATGATGTTTACTTGCTCCAATGAGACCCACTATGGATATGATTAATAAGAAAACACCACAGACAATAATTCCAGAAACCAGTGACAGCGATGTGACAATGGAGGCCGCATTGGCAGCAGCTGCGACCCCAAATAGGATGAATGCCACAATCTGAAATGTGAATAAATGCATTACACCAAAATGCTCTGTATCTAGACCTCTGCATTCCTTAGTTACCCTTTATTACTGATGATATGTTCTTTGGGAATAATTTAGCAACTCTTGAACCATTCTCTATCAAAATTAATTTATAGGTTAATTGGGACGGAAAACTTTGCAAATACCTGCGTACCCACAAACACCATGATTGTCTTGAAGATTCTCTATCCTTGTTATAACATGAAATACTGCAATAGAGTCTCCAGATAGAGAAAAAAATATATATGACGGCCCAACTTAGCCAAATAATGCTAAGATATCATAAACACTTAACTGCTTCAGAATACAAGCAGATTGCATACTATCTTCGCCAGTTTTACTAATCACAAGCAGATTGCATACTATCTTCGCCAGTTTTACTAATCACTTTATAAGTCTTTGCAACCCACACTCGGCTCAAAAGTTACTGGACTTATTTCCATAGGAATGCGACTGCTGAATGAAAACATCAAAACCTTGTTAAGGGGATGCATCCTTCTTGTTACCAACCTCTCCATCTTTGCCAATCATTTTACCAGTCTCACTATCACCTAAAAAACATTTATAAGTGACTCTGCCATATTCTTTTGTAAGGATGTGACACATGAGCATAAAACCTAATGATGGACTTTAGTCCAAATCTTTGAATATAATGACCAACTGACCTTGCCACAGGAGAGTTTAATCTGGGGTCAGCATATCTACGTTCATCTCGTTGCTATCTTCTGAGATCAATTAATTCCAAATCACCACTTAGATTGACGATTCTCAACCAAATGTAAATTTACTCGCTAGAGTAAAAATTTACATTACTGAATTTAAATTTAAAGCTGAATTTAAAGGCCTTTTTACTAGAACACTGGAAACTCAATGTATTGAACTATTCTTAATACTACCAATCAGACATCATTCTTCTTAAGATTCTGAATGGTTGGTGAGAGCATTGCCAGGTGTAAGAGAGAATATGGAAAAACTATCGGTACGAACAGTCATAAACAGCTGAGAGAGGGAGAGGAAGGGTGGATGGAGGGAAAGAGCAAGAGAGAGATATATGGTGATAAGACATACACACAGATTACTTCATGCAGTTCATATACACTAGATTTCAAAATCAATAACAAATCTAATGAATATTGTACTATCACTTGTAACATTTGAAAATAATTCTTAAAGTGTATTGCAGATAAGTGCAGTTATTATACTTCATTATCATATGATAATATTTGTGAAAGTAAGCATTTAATTATTCAAGATATAAAATGTGTAGAATATTTTATCCAATTACATTTTCCTAGTCTGTATCCCTTTTCTCTCATTCAAGTAGAATTACAAAGAGACTTTGTAATAATTTATTTTTTTGTGTCATTTTTCCCTCCCAGTCTGGGAAAAATTATGATTATTAATGTAAAACTACTTTCATAATATGAGTTTTATTGGTATGTCAATTAAAGTTACCAACAGTATGACAAGGATAATGTAATCTAAAAGATGGGACATTCAATGGCAATATATGCTTTATTGCTAGCAGGAAGGTAGTTTTTGTAACCTGACATTATTTTTTATTATCTATTTGTTCTTATTAATGAATTTCTGTGGTCTACAAACAACTCTCAATTATGTGAATATAAGTACAAATTTAATGTCTCATCTATTTATTAGGAGAGACTGAGGACTTGAAGTTTTAGGGAATATATTTTATGTGGTCTAGTAAGAAAAGAACAGAAAATCTTTGATAAAATTATCTCTTATGGTGTCATCATGGACTATCTTTATAATCTCTTCTCAAATGTATAATAAGCATTTCAGTTTAAAGAAATATCTAAATCATTGACGCTCTTGGTCTGAGGGCACTAAAAATAAAGGAATTGGACGACAGTTGCAGGGGTGGGGCCTAAGCCATGACTTCATAACTGCCAACACATTGCCAGACAGCCAACGGATCCAGTATGTGTAGAAGAAAATCCAATCCATTGGGACTTTTGTTGCGCTACTAAAAAGGCCTTAAATTTAGTTATTTAGCAGATTGGTGTTTCAGTATCTTTGCCTGTTTTTTTGTGAAGTGTCATTGTGGCTATACATTTTTTCTTCTAAATCAAAATTACTTTAAGAAAAGCCTCAATAACACAGGTACTTTTTATTGTCAATCTCTTAGTACAAGTTTTTACATTACTATAACATAGTAAGGGGAATGTTTGAGAACTAATGGTCTAAAGAGATACTGGCTATGTGAAAATGCCCTTTATCAACCTGAGAAAGGAAACCAGGCAGACATCCTGTTATTCATATACATATATGTATATATATGTATATCTACATATATATACATATATTATACTGTATATTATATATACATATAATATATATACATATATATATATATATATATATATATATATATATATATAAGATATATATATATTATATAGTATATATCTATTAGTATATATATGTATACTATATTTATATATATTATATATATATTATATAATATATATATATATACTATATATAATATATATTATATATATATATATATATATATATATATATATATATATATATATATAGTATATATTATATATTATTGTATGTATGTATACTATATATATATATATAATATATATATAATATTAGTATATATATATATATATATATATATGTATATATGTATGTATTATGATTGTAATGTATGTATGTATGTATGTATGTATGTATGTATTTATGTATGTATGTATGTATGTAGTATGTTGTATGTATGTATGTAATGTCTATGTATCGTATGTATGTATGTATGTATGTTATGTACGTATGTATGTATGTATGTATGTATGTATGATTTGTAGAGAACAAAAATTTTTGTAAAGTAACAAAAAAATTAAGTACAAAAAATAATCTGCAGTAATGCCACAAACAAAAGAAATATATGCTTCCCAAAGGTACTATACATAAATGAACAGAGGTGAGAGCTCAATTTTGGCTAAGTCAATCATCTTGTTGTCATGTCCAGAGTAAACATTGAAATGACCGTAGAACCTTCTTACTCGATGATTGCAAAGTAATACATGTGATATTACGTGACTGTCAAAATGATATTTTGCTAATCATCAGTGTCTGCCGTTCAACATTTACACTTTCAAAGGCCATTATTAATGTTGTTATACTTCATTTGTGTGTTATAAGATTCATTAAACAGATTTTTACGAGAACCTTCTGCGCATGCGTGTTTTTGTCTTTATGGCCACCAGGTCTGACAGGAGGATTCCTGTGCATTCGGTGACAGAGGCCGAAGAGGAATGTCTTTTCAGCGTTGCATTGATTCTAGGTTATTCTTAGGACTATACAGTGGCAATGAAGAAAAAAAAACCTTAATAACTATCGCAGTTTGATTTCTGAGGCCATCAAGTACCCCAAATCCCCCAAAAAATGATAAAAACAAAGGGATCCAATAGACCAACTAATGACCGACTGAAAGACCGAAGTTGGAGGGCGGATCCCCCCATCAACCCTCCCCTCAGGCAGTACACTTAGTCGCAGCACTGTAAATTACTAGGTTAGGTTGGGTTATGGGGCAAGACTTTTTTGGGGTTTGGAAGAATTGAAATCCCGTAGATTTCGACAAAAAATACATTGAATAGAGTTTTTTGGCACATCGGTGCATAGACTTTCAAAGGTGGCAGGCATGTTCGAAGAGTTTCATTAGCCGATTTTTAGCGTTTTTTTTGCTAGTTTTACACATTTTTGTTCACTATTCTTCTTATTTGAGCCTGTTTGACCACAGAATTCCCCTGATATACTTTATGCCCTCCCCTGCTATTGGGACTAACAAATCAAGATTGTCAATGGAAGTGGTACTCAGATCTCCTTAACAAGAAACAACATCAAGAATCGTTGAAATCAGTGGATTTCCGACAGATAAATATCAAAATTGTTTTGAAAGTAAGCCACTACCCTATCCTACATATTGACCCAAATCTACATACCTAATATTGCCACATCACAGCAGGTCAAAAATCATGCAAGTACAAATATTCCATGAACTAATTACAAAAACAAAAATAAAAAAGACAAAAAAATCTTTAAACCTTCAACTGCACACGTTACTCACTACTGATTTAATCATTCTTCCGAAGATGCCACATCACCTGCGCAAAAGTTCCATCATCTCTAAGATCACATCTCTGGTTCTATCAACAAGCACATGGCTAATTTCATCTCGTATACAAAATCTCTAAGAGTATAATTGGGGGGTAGGGTAATTGTTGAAGACCGCGACGCACCCTCGCAGAGACTAAGTCGAAAAAAATGATGTTTTTTTCTGCATGAAATCCTATGATTTCATCGATTTTCGGCGTTGTTTTTTTGCGAATGAATCGTTCAGGAGATCGAGTACCATTTCTCCATCGACGATCTTGATTTGATAGTCCCGTTAGCAGGGGGAGGGCATGAAGTATATCTCAGGGAAATATGGGTAAAACAAGCTTAAATAAGAAGAATAACGATCAAAAATGCGTAAAACTAGCACAAAAAGCGCTTAAAATCGGCCAATGAAACTCTACGGATGTAACGCCATCTTTGAAAAGTTTACGGACTGACGCGAAATAAATATAAAAAACTTTCCGGGAACCAACCCACATTTCGGCAAAAAAATCTACGGGAAATTCACACATTCCAACCCCAAAAACGTATTGACCAATAAACCAACCAACCTAATATATCAATATAAATTGCCGTGATTAGGCGTGCCCTTCGGCACTGCCCCGGGAAGGGTTGATGGGGGGCAAGCCCCCCAACACCCCCCAGGACACATTCTCTCCACCACTGTATGTACGGCAAGACAGAGCTGCATTCACACCGTAAAAATAAAAACCAAATACCTTTATATCCGGAAACGAGAAAACTTTCGTCTCTGTACTGTTGGGATTGCTTCGATTTAATCACCTTTTTCGTACTTTGGAGCTCTTGATGGCTCAGATATAAAACTGGGATGGTTACTGAAGTCGAATTATTCTTCGATGCCACTGTAAAGTCTTAAAAAAGAACCCAGAATCAAACAACACTGGAAACGCAACATTTCTCACCGGCTTTCAATCTCGAAATGAGCGGGTTGGTGAGCTGTCAACCTGTGGCTGGCGCAAGAAAGTGTGAAACACTCGATGCGCAGGATTCGATATGAGGTATAGATAAATATAAAAATATGCAATTGAAGTATAACACATTACTAAAAAGACTTTAAAGGTATAAAAATGCGTACCAGCAGACACAGATAATTAGCCAAATATCGTTTTGACAAGCGCGTAATGATACACGACTAGTTCGCGAACGCAAAAATGCGTTCGTGGGTCAGTGTCGTGTTTTTCCTAGCAAGGTAAACAAGCTCACGACTTGAATTTGAAAGGCGGCCGCGCGTTATATTTTCCTCATTTAGCGGTGCTATAAGGCCGTGCATCTTAAACTATACGCTATCCCCTTCTATTTTTCCCGCTCTATAAGATGGCGGTGTCCATTTTCCTCTATCTACGCGCGTCGCGGTCTTCAATCTCTACCTCTCTAAGAGTATAATTGGGGGGTTGGGTCTATAAAAGTATTGGAAATTGTACATCTCACATTCGCAATGTTGAATGATGAATTGGAAGCAGACAAAGAATGAACATTAATTTCATCTAACATAGTGAGCAATATAAACTCTTTAGCATCAATACATATGTATAAAATATTGTGATATGATGATTAACATATATCACATATTAGAAATTATGAGTGAAATAAAATACAGTAAAAATCTATCAATCACTACAACCACCATTAGCTGAAGTATCTATCCGATGTCAGAATACCAAAGTCTATAGAAATGATCTTCCTTACTTTACCCGCACAATTAATTCCCTGCAGTATTACCAACACTCTTGAAACAACGGAACTATTTTCATCACTTTACTTGGCTTGCAAAAGCCTCAAAAGAAGGTGAAACATTCTCCAAACCATACCTGAGACCTCAAATGACGTGGCTGTTTTAAGACTTAAACATCTCACATTTACATTTCTTTACGACATATTCACCCAGTTATCACCCTCCGAGTATAGACTTTGTTCCTGCTTTCCACGTCAACGCGAGAGGACGTGTATTGAGCAGGTAATTAAGGCTCAGGACATCGACCTCTGCTGAGCATACGGGAGACACCTAGGCCTACCTCTACTCCTTCTTCACTATCCAGACAAGCTCTAAAATCAGACTCTATTTCCTTCTCTGGATACGATTTGTCGTGTCATGTAACGTAGCGGGTGAATCAGGTGTTGAAAAGGGGAGAAAATCCCAAAACATGACGTTGTTTTGACGTTTCACATCGCCAAGAACCTTTTCGAAATAAACTTTATTTTTCTCCATTATATACGTAACCTAAACAACCTTTCTCAATAATACTCACAACATA